AATATGGTGCTACTCTAGCATGGATGAGGTGCTGCCTCTCTTTCGCCGTTTTGAGATCGGCTATCGCCTGTATCCGAGGTACAAGAAAATCTGCATGTCAGATAAAAAGTAAGGACGTAGAACTAGGCTTTTTGGAAAGCCAGCTATGCCATCATTGACATTAGAATTGATAATTTAGCATGGTGATTTTTAATAAAAAGAAAGAACAAACATTACTTAACCCATTGAGTCGCATTGCACCCTGATAGTATTTTACTCTGTCTAACGCCAGAGTATTTTACTCTGTCTAACGCCACACGATTTTACTCGTCAAGGGGAGAGCACTGGGTTAACTGGCCTATCTGACCATGTCTCTAGTTATTGGTGGGAAGCCATGAAATTGAAGTCCTAACAAAAGCTAACCTTTAGCAGTTCTTTTGGGTCCATTGCTCACTTATTTATCATGAAATCGGTTCACTAGAACATTTTTAATAATGTCTATGGGAAACTTTGTAATTTTCTGAACTAAAAGTTTATGGTTTTGAGGTGTTTATTTTATAAAATAGCATGCGCGACAAAATGACACTTGCTGCGGTCTCTCATGTCTGACAAACAACCAAAGATTTAAGTCCTTATTTCACCCTTTTATAGCTATGTGGAATACCTGAATATTAGGTTATCTTTTTCATGTGAGCATATACATAACATTTCTACACAATAGACCTTATGAAAGCTTATTTCAAACTCAAAAAAAGCGATAGTTTTTCATAGCCAGACTTCAAAAGAAACCGCCTGTCTGACATTTTATAGTAGCCCACATTGGCACGCAAAATAATTTTGGCTAAAAACCGTTGCTTTCCCATTATTTGCAATAGAAGCATGAGAATATTGAGCTAAAAGTCTTACCTGATGTATGTTTAAAATGTTTTTCACTTTATGATGCTTTTCAGTGCTTTGAGTACAGAAGTGCATAGCTTTTAGTTTTGTCACTGCAAAGTGCTTTTCAAAATGTCGGCTGTCATTGTCTGTGTTAAAAACACCTCAGAAAATTCCTATTTTCTCACCTTCCCATCCTTGGCTTATATTAAAATAAATAAATTTAAGTACTATGTGTCCTTTTAAATATATTTGAAGTAACCAAAAAACTTTAAAGATGTACAAACACTGTGTTTTGGCTTGCACACTTTGTTGAACTTGAACACTTAGTAACTGTTCTAAATTTCATGTTGTAAACAAGATGCCCCAAAAGAGCAAAGAAGTAATTTTTAAATTTTTTGATAATTTTGTAATTCATATCCCAAAAGATGAAAATTGGTTGTAATATAGATATGTATTAATTTAGTAAATGATTTTTTTTTGTTTTTATATAAATTTATGGAGATATTGCCCCTTTAGGTGATGAGTGACATGAAAAACAAAAGTGTCACTGCTTTACAAATATAAATTCTCATTGAAAAAACTAATTATATATATATAGGTATGCAAGATCATCTAAACTAAATTTGGTCAATGATATATCACTCATGTTTGGTTGAAAAGATCAGACTTTTTTACAATTTTTTCTGAGATATTGCCATTTTGGTGAAAGCTTGGAATTCAATAATGAATTTGCCATATTGCTTGCCACTTTAGGGGGTGGAAACATTGTAACAGCTTGCCAGTTAATGAGTTAATGCTTGAAGGGAAGTATGCCATGGTGGAAAAGAAAGACGAGTGAACTATGCATGCTATAATTAATTTTTAATTCGCAAGCAATTTTTCATTGAAAATAAGAAACAATCAACAATTAATACTGAATAATCACAAGATAGTACACTATAAGAAGCTTTTATTTATCAGCAGTTCAAAGGTCAGCTGTTGCAAATGATACAATACTTATTGCTATACAAAGAGCCAATTATTACATCAAAACTGAATAGTATACAGACTTCTTTGCATTGTATATTCCAAAATAATCCTGTCGCTCATATATACTATATTTTGATTTGAAGCAAATGCCCGAATTCACTAAAATACTCACACAAGGGACACATAGTCTAACAGACGCATTACTGACAGATTGCGCGTGTAACATGCGCACAAAATATCATCCAAGCGTGGGCAGACCCAGGCATTAACATAACATGCCTGAGTATTTTATCATGTAACATATAGAACGTAATATTTTTAAACAGCATATTGTAAAGTATTTCTTAATAAAGCATATATTATTATTAAATAAAAAAATTTATATAGTAAATTTACCATCATATACACCTAAAAATTATAAAAAGTCATTGTTATGTATTCTTACACTCACAGTCTTGGTAAAAAAGTACCCAAAAAATGGTGATGTGTGTGATTGGCTAATTGATTGCGCCTTTTTCAATTTAAAGGACAAATGAAGTGGGGTGTGGCGATAGTCAGAAACTTTTGGACAATGACCGAAAAACCATCATTTTGGCCACCAGATATTCCTTTCTGTTCGCCATCTGCAAGAGAGGAAATCAAATCTGGTGATTATGAATCAGGGGATTATGCTTTCATTTTCATTGAAAATACATGAAGAACACACACATCTTACATATTGAAGTAAAACAACCATGACAATATTATTAAACTAGAGAGGAATCACACTGCATGACTAATCAATTTTACTATTCTGAAAACTGAATTTTTCAAAATTGTTGATAAATCTGGTATTCTTTTGGCAGCCTAGACCTAGGCCTTCTATTTTTATTTATATTTTTTTAATATTCAGCGCTTTTTCACATGAAAAGACTGGGACTAGGTAATTTGGGGGCGGGGCGGAGGAAGGACACAAGCCTGACGCAAGCGAAAATATAGAAGGCCTAGTGGATTTCCCAACAAGGCCAAAACTGCCCTGAAACTGCCCTGATTGCAAAATGCCCAATTGTTGCGTTCTCAAACAGAATTATTTGCAACTTAACAGCGAATTTAAACCGATACAGGTAAAATAAACTCATTTATAGTATAAACTTACTATTTTTATTTGTATACACGTCTAGAAAATCGGGTTTTTATCATAAAGTTTGAAACAACACTATTTATATATGTTGACAAGGTGTAGCGAAACGGCACAAAATAATAATTCTTTTATTCGCAAGACAATCTACTGTTTTGCTTTGAATAACTATATTTGCGAATTGGGAATGAAGAATTTAAAATTAGTGTTCAAATATTACAGATATACCATTTGTATAAACAATGTACGTTTTTATATACAGTACTGTACGGGCTAATAATATATGTATCCGTTTTATTTTGTATATTTTACAAACACAAGACTGCTTCTTGCCAAAATTGAGAAATTATATATTAATGTACTTGTGTATAAGACAAAATTTCATGAAAGATTCAACTTTTGGTATATATTTCGACTCATTTTGTTCTTTCGCTACACCTTGTCAACATATTAAATAATAGTGTTGCTTGGAACTTTATGATAAAAAACCGATTTTCTAGACGTGTATACAAATAAAAATAGTAACTTTATACTATAAATGAGTTTATTTTACCTGTATCGGTTTAAATTCGCCGTTAAGTTGCAAATAATTCTGTTTGAGAACGCAATAATTGGGCATTTCGCAACCAGGGCAGTTTCAGGGCAGTTTTGGCCTTGTTGTTGGGAAATCAACTAGGCCTTCTAGGCTTGCTTCCTCCGCCCCGCGCCCAAATCACCTAGTCCCAGTCTTTTCATGTGAAAAACCGCTGAATACTAAAAAATATAAAAAAGACTATAAGGCCTAGGTCTAGGCTGGACAATTCGCATTGTACAGGGTGTATCAAAAAAAGTAAGACAATTTTGAAATTGCTCTCAATTCCACAATTCTGTTCATGAAATGTAAGTTTTGCTATATATGGATTGCTTGAGTTCTTAAATTATGGAAAATATAAAAAATTTTGAAAATAGTAAATTTTGCTATCCAGGGGGGTGGTCAACTTTTGCTCTCCTAAAAGTGGCTTGCGCACGGAAATGACAAACGGTATTCTTTATTTGAGTTCATGTATGAAAAGTTCGCTATTTGTTGCATTTATGATAAAATTTCGGCATGATTTTACCAAGTACAAATCCTCCGAAAAGCCTATGAAAACGTTACATTTTTCTCTGTTGGTGCTGTTCTTGCTTCATTATGAATTCATTTTTACTCCCATGAGAGTTCCATGGAATTTCCATGGAATCTGTGCTTTCGAGTTGTTTGTGCTGAAACGCATTTTCTCGTATAATACCCCGTACATTTTATGTTGTTGCTACGGAGGAACTCTGATACCATGCATGAAAGCTCTCTGCTGCTGGGTAAATTGTGGCATCGCCATTTCAAAGTGTACGGGGTATTATACGAGAGAATGCGTTTCAGCACAAACAACTCGAAAGCACAAATTCCATGAAAATTCCACGGAACTCTCATGGGAGTAAAAATGAATTCATAATGAAGCAAGAACAGCACCAACAGAGAAAAATGTAACGTTTTCATAGGCTTTTCGGAGGATTTGTACTCTGTAAAATCGTGCCGAAATTTTATCATAAATACAACAAATAGCGAATTTTTCATACATGAACTCGTATAAAGAATACCGTTTGTCATTTTCGTGCGCAAGCCACTTTTAAGAGAGCAAAAGTTGACCACCCCCCTGGATAGCAAAATTTACTATTTTCAATTTTTTTTATATTTTCCATAATTTAAGAACTCAAGCAATCCATACATATAAAAAATTACATTTCATGA